TCTCATTAGTAATTCTCCTTACTGTCTGTCATACAGTTCTTGTGGTGTCAGTTTGGAGAATTTCGGTATTGGATCAATTAGCACTAACTTTAACCCTTTAACTCCCATGAGTGATGGAGACAGAATTTCTCCTTACAATATCAAAACAATAGCAACCAGATAAGTGATGAGAATGAATAAAAATATCAATTTGGGGATAATTAGTTGATCCAATTCTAAATTCTCTAAACTAACATAAGAATTGTATGGTTGACAGTATAGAATGAAGTTTAATATTTCAGAATAATTGAGAAACTTTTCCTTAGCCCTCTGAGTCCTAGATCTTATTTCTAATCCAAGTTCCCATTTAATGCCTATTTAAACTCAGTTCAAACATCAAACTTCATGTGAGACACACTAAAATGCAAGTTTGGTCAACCTAAACAGGTGGATTCCAACCACTAGGTCAAACATCAAAAAGAGTTTGTTGTATTCCACTCAGAGCAGCAAAAATGACTGATTTTGAAAATGTAATTTGTAATTTATTCCTTAAGTTTGATTCATGAAAAGAAATTGACATCTGCCCCACAGACAATCTTTAAACGTTCTATTCAAAGGACAGAATGTGTTGGTGGATCCACACTCAGTTGGACAAACTCAACTGATTCAATGATTCAAATGTCAAACTTGAAATGAATTCTCTCAGTCTTGGAGGTCTCATGTGAAGTTTGACCCTTGAACTGTGACTTAGTTACCAAGCCTTTGAATAGGAGTGAGGCTGAGACACAAAAAGAGGCAAGGTTTGTGTCAAAACAAACCTCTGACTCCTACCCAAAGGATTTGGAACTAAGCATACAAATCGTAAAACAGGCTTTTGTCCTTGTTCAACATTAGTTTACTATTAATTGAAAAATTAAGCTTACTCAGGGAAACCCACTGATATCCACGATTGGTAAAGTAATCACTTTGTTAATTTGAAAGCTGTAATCCAGCTCATATTTCCTAATCATCATCTTACATTTGACATACATATATAACTAGAGATAAATCTACCTATTTTCAAATTTTGTTAGCATAATTATCCCTTCTGCTGGAGAGAAACTATTATTGGCTTAAAATTCCGATCTACTTTTCAGTGGAATACGTCAAGCTATTTTTTCTTTGGCCAATCGATGGATCTTGAAGAACCTGAAGGGGAAGAGGAGGACTGTTTTCTTGCATCCATGCAGGACACACCAAGTCGAGACCTTTCTCTCTAGCGTTGCTCAAATTTCAGGCTGGAATTGGACAGACATGACTTCACTAACAGGGGGAGGAGAAGGGGAGTTGACAGGTTTGTGGGCTCTAGGTTACTGATTATCCAGATTAAATCAGATTGTAACATTCACCCACGAAGACATGAGACAATACTCAAGGTATGGATAATTTTGAAGCAGAGAATCTGATGATCATGTCTCTCCTTGTTCGGTGTCATAAAGAAACAACCTGTCTCCACAAGCAATCAAACAAGGTCTAAATAAAATAAGCCATAGCTTGAGCTTAAATTTGTAGAGAATCGTCGGAAGCTATGGTGTGTAAATTAATGCCATTACTGTTATTAGCACTCACTAAAAGAAATATTTGTGTCACAGCATAGGTTCGACAAGAAAAGATTTTGGCGGACTTCGATCGTTGGAACTTACCTTTCGTGAAGTGTGGTAAAGAGAGATTCCTGAGCTGTCAAAATGATGGCCAACAATCGTGGTTGTTCCAATATCTATTGATATGATATTCACTGGAGAATGACTTCTTGATCGATCAACTGCCCTTGCCATTATTCTGCGATCTGTGGAAAGACCATAAGGTGTTATCGTTGGCACTCCATTGATGGGAATGATGTTTGCTTGACTGGCCACAAGCACCAAAACAATAACCTTCCTCCAGGGGTCTCTCCAGATTTCAAACAATTTTTTATTTCTACCGCTTAATTTTAAATGTAAAATCTCCAGATTCCCTTCCCATTAATTGAAATATTTCTTACCTTTATGGATAAATGCGTCGAAGAAAAAAATATATGCTTCTCTACAGGAAAATGTTCCGGCGCGATTATCTTTTCAGGGGTCCCCTCCGTGATTATTGTGGCATAGCGATATGTAACCAAAACGAGGCTGTTTAAATTGGCGCGCCATTTTGAATCAACACAGCAACAGCTTCTCGCTTGAAATATCATGTCCAACCGTGCAGAAGGTTGTGGACAATGGCTCTCTGCAAATACGAAAAGGAGAGAAACTAAATTAGCTCCCCTGCAAGGTGGGAAAACGAAGAAAACGAAAAAGAAAAAAAACTTTTCAAATCTTGCTCCCATACCAATCGTACAAATCTCTAGTTCACCCCTCTCGCCGAGAACGGTGAAAAAATTGCGAAATGCGAAGCAGACAAAGCTTAACAGGTTCTTCAAGGCAGATGGACGACCCAATTCGAATGGCTGTCTGAAGAATAACAGCGCTGCTCCGAACAGAGAAGACGATCTAGAAAAGAAACAGGTGAAGATTCCAGTGAAGAGACATCGAGATAATTCGTCGTCAGGTATATAAAAGCACCTTTGTATCAGCTATCTTACTAAAATATAAATCAGTTTATACACTTAGGCAATGAATGACACAAAAGAGGATAGATATTGGCAAGCTTGAAAATCACATTTCTGCCTCTATAAATTTTAAATGTTAACACTTTCATGTGCAAGTCTTGATAGCTGATGGTTCTTTAACAGCTATACCAGGACAAATATTTTGAATGTTTTCTCCAAAAATTAGGGCATATACCTAGTATTTTAGAAATATACA